CCATTGAGAATAGGAAGCAGTAAGAGAGGGTAAGAGGAGTGTGTGTGTGTGTGTGTGTGTGTGTGTGTGTGTGACAGAGAGAGAGAGAAGAGACAGTGTGTGAATGTGTGTGTGTGAGTGTGTGTGTGTGAGAGAGACAGAGAGAGAAAAGAGACAGTGTGTGAATGTGTGTGTATGTGTGAATGTGTGTGTGAGAGAGAGACAGAGAGAGAGAAAGAGAGACACAGTGAGAGAGAGACTGTGTGTGTATGTGTGAGTGTGAGTGTGTGTGTGTGTGTGTGTGTGTGTATGTGTGACTGTGTGTGTAAACTGTTAATAAAGGGGAGACATGTAGGTAGATCCTCACGGAGGGCTTTAAAGTCATTGGGAATGTGTCCCCAGAGAGTATTAAGGTAGTTCTGGGACCTGAGAATGTCCTTCCAAGAGTGAGCTGCTGCATTAAAGAGTGAGTTCTCCTTTTCCCTAGTCTGGGTTCTGGTCTTGTCTATGAGTTTTTACCTCTGTGGTGTAACAATTTCCTCTGAATTGAAACATTTCCATAGGGTGGAATGAGGGGAGTTCATAAGACCTAGCAAGTAAACAAAACAAAACAAAACAACAACAAAACCCTACCACTACAACAAAACCTTACAGAACATAGGAAGAGCCTGAAACTTACAAAACTTCCAGAGATCCTACTCAAAGTTGTGCTTGCCACAGTACTCACTGGAAAGAGCAAACTTTTCTGTGGGGTTGATTGCAAGTTTTCCAGCGAGCCCTAGGGATGCAGCTTCCATGAATCATGAAGGACACTCAACCCTGGAATGGTCTTTTTAGTGAGGCCTTTAAGTCATCTGTACTCACGTCATTAATTCCTGCCCACCCTCCTGTAAGGGACCCTAATAAACTCACTGGCTCACTAAGCTAAATAGGTTGGAATTCTTTCTGTGATCGTTCATTGGTGCCTTATCTGGGATGATGCCCACGCAGAGCCTACTGGCGGCTCTACTTCTGGGTACACACTCACCATAAATACACAAGGACAGCAAGCTAGTTGTTATGTAGCAATTTAGAGCACGCACTAATTTAGTCAAAAGACTAAAATAATTGCATGGCATCACCCTAGACTGCCTCAAGTACCACAACCTGAGTAAAGCTAAACCTGGGCCCTCTCCCACAGCTTTCCATTAACGCAGATGAGATGGTTAGATGGAACTTTCTGGAGCTCCTAGGATGAGTACACAGGTAACAGTAGATTGTGACATGGTGATATGTAGGTGTAGAATAAGATGGCTTCTGGGGCCAACACTTCTAAGACACTGAAGCAAACAGAAGGAAGACACAGGGCTGTGGTTAGTGCCAAGAATACCCAGAGAGTCCATGGGAGCTTAGGTGGAACTCTGGCCATATCACAAATTGGCACTAAAAGATGGGCCTTTATATCTCCATGCTGACCAATCATTGATTAAGAGCTAGGTAGGCATGGGGTTACTATTCAGCTAATAGTGATCCTCAAAGGTGCCAAGGGCTGGTGCACATTCATCTGAGCCTTGTCAGTTGTTAGCAGTCCTCTCAGTTTGGATATTAGGGCCACATTCCTGGGAAGAGCAACATACAATCCTGTAGCAGATGATGGAGTGTCCTATGCTGCATGCGGCTCACAGAACGGGGTCTTCAGAACCAACACCATCAAACATAATCACTGGCTGTGACTGGACATCACAGCAAGTAGGAAAGGAAGAGATTCACCTAGGGCTAAGCCACAACACAGGACTGTTTCCTCTGTTCTTCAGACTGAAACCTTCTGCACTGGCTCCACCCCTCCAGTTTTTATGCTCAAGGCTTGCAGCAGGAGTGGTGGTGTAGCCAGCTTCCTTGAGAACGTTGAGAACTCGTCAGTCCTGCAGGAGAAGGTGAGCTGAGTGGGAAGGAGGACACAGAACATGTAGAATAGGGGCTGGAGGTGATGAACACGGTGTACCCTAGGCATTCAGTGCAAGAGGTTGAGAGGTCCTGGGAGGATGCTGAGACTTCTTAGTATGAGGTCCATCATCTCAAGACTAATAAGAAAGATTTGCTTGATGGGTGGCTTCTACCCATGTCATTAGATGCTGTTACCTAAAAACCCATCACCTTTTCTGAAAATGTCACTGCTGTCCCTGAGGCAGATCTTCAGAACTAGGAGGCAGGTCACCAAGTGTAAATGTGCCCTAACTCCCTTCAATTCCCCACATAAAGTTTCAGAGCACCAATGACTGTCAGAGGGGCATCAACAAGATTGAAACCCTGTTGTTGACTCCATGGCTAGCTCTACCTTGTGCTTCTCAGGAAAGAACCCATGGCTCTAAAAGTGCAGGGGCTGGAGTGGAGGATGTGAGCTCTAGGAATAGGACAGGCTATGCTGAAGGACCAGTGCATCTGTAATTCTGGCTGAGCCTGTGAGCTGCAGTGCTTGCAGTATGGGGATTCTTTCATGGTGCTAGGGACTCTAACAAAGGGCCTTGCATACGAGGTGCCAATGCTTTGCCATTGAACTATGGCTTCTGCCCTTTGTCAATTTTCTTCATATAAATGGGCTTGCATAGCAAATACCTTAATCTTGCAAGCTATGAAGTTGCCCTGTGGAGTCCCAGAACCACTCTGCTGGGTTGGTTGCATGGTCCCTTTTCACAGTGGAAGGAACTGCATCTCACAGGCTTTTAGGAATTCTCAAGAGTGGTCTAGGTCCTCATCTATATCTGTAGTCTTCTGAGGCACTTTCTCTGTTTGATTCTGAGTTGCAGGTTCTCTGGGTCTTTCTAGAACCACATCAGAAAGTTTTGGGATGAGTGTTTCTGTCTCCCAAGCATGGCTTGTCAATATGAAAAAAAGAAAAAGCCAGCTGAGAGATGGGTGGTCTCACCTGGTACCCTCTAATTCCTAGAGGCAGAGCTGTTCTCTCCCCTCTTGTTCCTGGTGGCACATCTGAATTGATGTCCACTAGCCTTTAGAATCATGACCTGAGGATGAACCAGGAAGAGATGCTTCGAGTCTGGTTATGAGGGGTTTGGTGGAGTCAGAGGGTCTTGGCCTTCAGTCCCTGCACTGGACTGTATGAGGACAGGGACCTAGGTCAGGTGTTTGGGGATGCTGGAACCATTGTTTTCTTATCTATAACATTAGGAGAGAAACTGATTCTCCATCCTTGAGCCTTTATGAGGGGAAACCACTCCCATGATTTGTCCACATTTGTGGACACAATGCATAGTGAGTTGTACTTAGAAAATGCATATAAAAACCATAACTCATACTACAGAAAAGACTTCACATTACGGAGAGGGTGAGGTGGCCACTTCCCCACTTCCTTGTCCTGAGCAGTTGCTCCTGTGACATCACATGGGGTGTGTGCATGTGAGTTACTCCACCAGTCTACTAGTCATGGCACATGGGATCCTCCTTTGCTTTGCCTTTTATAACTATCACAAAGTGTGCAAAGTTCTGCACACTTCTCTTTATATTGTTCTCAGTGTGTCTTTGGGTATATCCTTAGATTTGATATTGTGGTGTCCAGGGCAAATAGTTTAGTGATGACCTTTCACAGACCTGTGAGACTTAGCTTTCCCACCTGCTGCTTATGAGTCTGTGTTTTCTCATACTTGTGTCAATAGAATGTGCTGCTGTACATTCAGACTTCTGCTCAATACATGGATGAGAAATATATTCAGGATTTACCACTTGTCTAGAGACCCTTCCTTAAGTGGTGGAATTTAGATACCAAGATCAGAGCTCAGGAAGGGCTTGTTTTTACTACCTCACTTAGCAGGTAGAGTCAGGAAAGACACCTAACTATCTTGCCAACCTCTCACTTTACCTATCTATACTCTTTGTATGTGCATGTGTGTTTAATTTTTGAGAATTTCATATCTGAGTACTGTATTTATGTAATTTCTAATGTTCAAGGTTGCACTTTCCCTATGATGCCACTACCCATTATATTTGCAAATTATTTAGGCATTTGTTCAATGCTACCATTCATATGCTGATCCATATGCCTTCAAGGAACAGATTGCTGGAGAGAGCCCAATATTTGATAGAATGTTTTATCTGCAGTTTTTCTGTGGATAGTGAAAATGTCTGTTTCTTGTTCTCTCTATTTGAGTTGTCTAATTCTTCAAATACTTAGGGAAAGTGAGGAGGAAACACCTAGGTTTTAGTAGAAGAGATTTTCCCTACCAATAACTTGCTAGCTAGCTTAGGGACTGGATAAATGAGATGGAGACAAAGACAGAAGATAAACATGTGGTAAGCCTGCATCAGGCCACATTTTTCTGCAGAGTTCTTATGTGAACACTGGCTGGTGGGTACCTTATGCCTTCCTCCTCGTGAGCGCAGCACTCTGCAGAAGCCCCGTTTAGTCATAAGGCACCTTGTTCTATTGGATGCCATCTTGCTAATGTTTCATTAGGGTTTGGTATTGATAACTGTATGTAAGATTTACTTGTGTTTTTCTTCTGTCATTGTTACCTTCGACCTATGAGTTTCATTTGCCTCTTAGAAGGCATGTGGAGGCTTCCTTTCTTTCCCTGGGTTCTGGGGGTGGGGAGGGAGAACAGTGTTGGAACTCTCCAGTCTCCTGGGGTTTAATATAATGAGATTGCTCTGAGAAGCTATGGGGAGCCGTGCATTTTGATGAGGAGCTTAAGAAGTAATTTGTAATCTCTTTCATGGTTCCCCGGGTTATCTCACTGCCTGCAGACACTTGGTTAAAACTGAAAGGGCATATTTGTGCACAGTTACATTGTGACTTAAAATCGAGACATTAGCTTCTCTGTTTTCTCCTTGGAGTGGGAGGGTCTCCTACATGTCTGAACCAGTCAGCCTCCAAATACTTTGTGCTGCTACACCTCACAGTTTTTCTATGACTGCCCCTTACCCTTAGTGTGAGAATCTTTGCAGAATGGAAAGGTAGAAAGGTCGGAAGGGTCACTGTAGTTTCCAGTTTATCTAAACCACTGTCTTCCCTTTGACATGTCCTCAGGCACCTGGAGTCCAAAGCTTCCTGAAAAGATCATGGCTGAATCCAGTGACAATTCTCTGAGGATTGTTCTGGTAGGGAAAACAGGAAGTGGGAAGAGTGCCACAGCAAACACTATCCTGGGGCAAAAGACATTTGCTTCTAGAATTGCATCCCATGCTGTCACCAAGACCTGTCAGAGAGCATCCCGGAAGTGGAAAGAGAAAGAGCTCCTGGTTGTTGACACCCCAGGGCTCTTTGACACCAGGGTAAAGCTGGAAACCACCTGCATTGAAGTCAGCCGGTGTGTCCTCTACTCCTGCCCTGGGCCTCATGCCATCATCCTGGTACTGCAACTGGGTCGCTACACAGAGGAAGAGCAAGAAACTGTTATTAGGATCAAGGCTATCTTTGGGGAGGCAGCCATGAAGTACATGATTGTCTTGTTCACCCGCAAAGATGAGCTGGAGGACCAGAGCCTAAGTGACTTCATAGCAGACTCAGATACAAACCTTAAAAGTATCATCAGAGAGTGTGATGGCCGCTGCCTGGCCATCAACAACAAAGCAGAGACGGCTGAGAGGGAAGCGCAGGTACAGGAGCTGGTGGGGTTGGTGGAAGCGACGGTGCAGAGAAACGGGGGCATCTACTTCTCTGACGCCATATACAAGGATGCGGAGCAGCGGCTGAAAGAAGAGGAAGCGATCCTCAGGAAACTCTACACCCACCAAAGACAGAATGAAATTAGAGTAGTAGAGGAAGAGCATGCTCTTGGGAAACTTGGCACTCAGGAAAAAGAGGGCATAATCCAAGCAATTAAGGAAAAATATGACAAAAAGATAAGACAAGAAGCAGAGGATAACATATTCAGCCAGATTTTTGAAGCAGTCAAGAAAATTCTTTCAAAAATATGGCATTTTAAACGGGTGGTTGCACATGCCTTTAATCCCAGCACTCGGGAGACAGAGGCAGGAGGATTTCTGTGAGTTCGAGGCCAGCCTGGTCTATAGAGTGAGTGCCAGGACAGGCTCCAAGGCTACAGAGAAACCCTGTCTCAAAAGTAAATAAATAAATAAATACAAAAAAGAAAAGAAATAAAGAAAACATTGTGTTTTTTCATAAGTAGTTTGCATCTTATTCCCTACCATTCTCCCTGCTGGCCCTTCCTTCAGCCACCAACAAACTTGAAAGACAGCAGAACCAGAAATTCACTGAACCAGAGTCAAGACCCAGCGTGAGGCTCCAAGCCCAGGTCATGCACCCCACACTCAGCTGCCTATGCTAGCCTGCCCTGCCCTCCCTATGCTGATGGCTGATGGACCAGAATGCCTCTGTCACCATGAGCCCAAATAAACACTGCTCCTTTAAGTTGCTCCTGTGTGGTATTTGTCACGCTAACAGAAAAGTTAAAACATAGTCCTTTATCAGTTTATAACTGTAACTTTATAGGTTAAAGGTGATCTATAGTGTTAGGACAATGCAGAAGTGTTTGTTCTGGATTTCAGAGTCAAATTTTGAACCACTATGATGTCACACACCAGTTTCCTCTAGAAATCATCTCCATGTTTTCCTTTGTAACTCTTTGGAATCACTCATCCAGAGTTGGTTAATCCTAACTCCATAAAGCTTCTGCCACCACTGGAAATGATTTACTGACACACAGAACATAGCTTTGGGCTGGGGATAGGGATAAAGAGAGAGGAGAAAGCATCTAGGGCAGTTTCTCATATGGTTTCGAAAGCTATAAAACTCTATACCCAGATCCAGAAAACACAACTCCAAATGTTAGAAGTTTAACAACTGCTTGTGTTTCTATTTTATGTAAAACTGAGTCCCAGTAAATAGAGAATGGTCCTTGTACCCCACACCTCTTCATTGTTTCCCAGGGCTCCTGCAGCTGTGAGAAACTGCCTGAGGGTCCATGCTCGAATGAGTACTGTATCCCATTTCAGTATAAGGTGTTCGGTATCTGCTGTTCTGTGAGTTCAAATTTTTGGTCTTCCAGATGGGGTGGCTCAGTTTTGTTCAGAATTTTCTTTCAGTATTTGCCCAGTTTCTCTCTTTTGTGAAGACTGATTAGGGTATGGGGACACGCCCATCAGTAATGTTTAATTGGTGACCAGAAACAAAAATAGAATCACACACATTCCAAAGAAACAATCATCTCCTGAGCACCCAGGCAGCAGGAATGGCGGAGAATCAGACCAGCGGATTCCTCCCAAACTCCAGCTGTGGGGCCTGCTTGCCCATGCCTGACATCCGATCTCCTTTCTCCTAAGCTTAACCCTCCCTGTACAATTCCCAATATTCCCAATGCCAACTGACACTGGTGTAGTCATTGTGGTCTCTGGCTCCTTCTAGCTAATTCCCGAGTCTTCCATAGGGCCCATGAGCCTGAGAAACTACCACTAGGGCAGGAATAGTCCACTTCCAAACACCTGTCCCACTGGGGTGGGAGCTTTCTTGCAGCCAGAAGCTATCCGTGAACATGTAGTTAGCAGAACCCAGTAGAGTACGCACAAAAAATTATCAAGTAAATAATATTAATTATATACTCTTAAAGCAAATAGGATACATATAATTTTAAATTTAAAAGTAATTTCAAGGTTTTGTGGCTTCAAAATATACACTCAACCAAGGAAAGAGGGTAGCAGCTTACACTGTGAGAACCATGTCACCCAATTTCTCAAGTAAGGGTGAAAGAACATTCCACAGCTATGAAGTCTGCTTCTGGGAGAAGCATGCCCTGCTGCTCTTTTCTGAGTGAAAAATTTGGCAGGAAACATCTCTTATTTCACTCTGGTCCAGTGCCCAGGAGAGTCCGAGGCATCTGAAGAAGGCTCTGTAGAGAAGCCTTAAACATCTCAATGGAATCCCTCTGATGAGGCTTCCCCATGTTCCATTTACCCCCACGACTCATCCCAAGCATTGACTGGGTAGACTGTCCAAGGAATCCCTTGTAAGGGGGGAGATGTCAGTCCTGTTCTAACCGCCCTGTGGGGTGACCATGCTGTTATATGAAAGAGGTGGAGATGGAGAAACAGGAAATGCCTCGGTGGAGACAGCAGGTGTGGTACTGCTTCACACACAGGCAAAACGGCAGCAGACAACCTTGTTTTCATAATTTGAGGGTTTTCTGAGAAATGGAGGCACAGCTCCCAGAGATGTGTAGAGATCAAGATAAACAACCCTGCATTCTACATAATGAGGTGAGAGCAGAGTTCTGTGAGTGGAGCCACCGTGAGCCACCGTGAGCCACCGTGTATCAGGAAAGTTGCGAAGTCACAAAAGACAGGAAGGCTTGAAAGCAGAGTGCTGTGCTGACCTCGTGTGCAGATGCGGGGTGAACATGCCCCCTGCTTTCTTCCTCTTTACTCTCTCCCTTGAGACTTGGCTTCCTCCATGATAGTGGGAACTGAGTAGAAGCCAGAGGCTGTGCAAGAACAGAGTACAGTATATGCTGAGGCAAGACAGGGGCTTGGAGGGACAGGAGGAAGAACTGAACGTGTGTCTCACAGTGGGATCTGCCCCTGGGATATTAATATTTTGTGCAAGGGGCTGGGCGGGGTGCTGATGCCAGTGCTAATCATTCATCAGTGTCTCCAATGCAGCAAGGCTGTGAGGAACCTTGACAGTCAGAGTTCTAAACTGCTGCTCCCTGACAGACTCCTCACCCTAGTGTCACAGAACCTTCTGCACTCAGTATCTCTGGTCTCCAAGAGGGATTGCTAGTCCTGAGAAGCAGCATTGTGGAGTTTGAACCATGTTCAACCTGGAGATTGGGGTCACAGTGGATGGGCCAGTGAGCTGGGCCATGTCATAGATGAGTTGCTCGCTTACTTGAGTATACCTAGAAGTTGAAAGTTTTAGGTGTCAGGGAAGGAGGAAATCTAACATGATCTGCTGCAATCCCCCTCAGCAAGCTAGGCTCAAAGGTTTAATAATAACCTTGCCAAAGAGCATAAACTGCAAGCAAGCATCAGGCCCACAGCTGCACCCCTGGTCCTAGGTCCTTGGTTCCACTCTTACGGGAAGTTTCTATGGGTTCCCCATAGAAAACTGATGTCATGGGCCACCAGAGAAGTCTAAATGAGCCATGATGGTTTACCTGTGGGAATTCATAGCAAGGGAAACAGATGACTGGAGAAGTCCCTGTGCTTCAAGGAAGAAGAGTGAAGTGTCAGGGCTTGTGTCCCTCTCCTTTGTTCCAATCTTCCATGTGCAAATGTCCAGTTTTTGGGGTGCTATTTGTTAAAAAGGCTGTTGTGGAATGTTATTTTAAGATATGTTACATTTGTTTTGCTGTGGAACATTTGCTTAATGATGCACAGATATGTTGCATTCTTTTATGTTGCATTTGTTTAACTCTGTAAAAGCTGTGTTACTTTGCTGTCTAAAACACCTGATTGGTCTAATAAAGAGCTCAAAGGCCAGTAGCAAGGTAGGAGAAAGGATAGGCAGGGCTGGGAGGCAGGGAGAATAAGTAGGAGGAGAAACCTGGAAAGAGAAGATCTAGGAGCAAGAGAAGGAGGACATTAGGGGCCAGCCACCCACCTGCATAGCCAGGCATGGGGTAAGAAATAAGGACAGGTATACAGGAACAGAGAAAGATAAAAGCCCAGAGGTAAAGATAGGTTGGATAATTTAAGTAAAGTTGGCTAGAAACAAGCCAAGCTAAGACTGGAGATTTATAAAGAATAAGCCTCCTCCAGGCAGTGGTGGTACACACCTTTAATCCCAGCACTCGGGAGGCAGAGGCAGGTGGATCTCTGTGAGTTTGAGGCCAGCCTGGTCTATAGATCGGACTCCAAACTACAGAAATACTCTGTCTGGACAAACAGGGTTTGGCTGACCCCCAGAAGACGTAAAGAGCCAAAAGAACAAAGAGTTAAAAAAAAAAAAAAAAAAAAAAAAAGAGGAGGGTTACCAACAACAACAACAGGCTGTCCTTTCCCCAATGTATAGTTTTGGTACTTCTGTCAAGAATTAGGCTGAAAATGTGTGAATTTATTTCTGGATCGTCACTTGTGTTCTACTAGTCTATATGTTTGTTTTTATGTCAACATTATACTCTTCTGTGCCAATGGCTATGTTGTAATTTTTTTTGAAGCCAGGTACATGGCACTTACAACATGGCTTTTTGTGCATGATGTCTTTGTCCATGTGGGGATCTTTTGTGTTTGCATATGCATTTTGAGGTTTTTCTAGTTATCTGAAGAATATTGTTGGAATTTTGATGAGGACTGTGTGTCTGTGTAAAGTAATTTGGATAATACCAAGGTTCAAGCTATATTTTCTCCAATTCATGAACATAGCCAATCTTTCCAAGTGTGTGTGTGCATGCACACATATGTGTACAGCTGTGTCTGTGTGTGTATCTCTGTAATGTCTCTTTTTCAATTTATTTAATTGCTGTTTTATAATTTTCTATGCAGAGGCCTTTCACTTCCTAAGTTAAATTTATTTTGATGTGTAGCTACCATTTCTGAAACTGCTTTTACTTTAGACTGTGCTATTTGATCCCTGCATCTTAAATAGGTGGTTTCCAAGCCTTCACTCTTAGTGTCAGGAGTGCAGAGCTCATCTCATGCACTCTGTGTATTCAAGAGTAACAGGCCAAGGGCTGTACCAACAGAACTGCCAGCAAACAGCCAGCATTTAGGGACTTGAGTCCTTGAAGCTTCAGTTAGTTCATTTTTACTTTATTCAGCTGCTTTGAGCTTTATCCCAGGCTCTACCTGAGCTCAATTCTGTTTTGTCTGGGTGGCTGGTGCATGCTTCATCACAGGAGGATTTTTGACCCTCTGCTCACACAGCAAAGGACTGTTCTCTGCCATCCGCAAGTACTCTGCAGCAGCCATCTCATGGTTTTCTTCACACATTGAACTTGAAGCAACTATTTTTCACAAATGGCCAACCACCTAACCATGGAGTTCATCTTGCAGTATAGTTGAACCCAGGAAAGATAAGAAGTCAAAATAGAAGGGGCTTTCACAGCCTGTTTGGGGAGGAAATGGTGGTTGCTGGGGAGCTTCTGACGGAGGAGAAAGGGCAGGCGAGAGCCCCGAGAGCACCCTCAGCGGTCTCAACTAAAGCGCCTCTGCTCACTTTGACCACAGTCACCTGTTCACACGCACTAAGGAGGTGGGTGGAGGAGAGTTCCAGTGAGAGGACCAGAGTCCAGTTTCTGCAAAACACAGTGAGTGGAAGGGATGTGACAAACCCTGCGGTGACTTTTTATTTTACATAAGAAAAATGTCAGGACCCATCTGCCCGAACCCAGCCCCATGTCCTGACATCCATCTGTAGATCTAGTCCTTTGGTTCCTTTGACAGCCTGAGAGTATCGT